TCAATGGCATATTAAGGTCTCCTTTTACAATTGTGTTACTGATATTTGAGTTTTCATTTCTGTTAATAATTGTTTTATATAACTGGGTGCTCTGGAGTTTGGTGCGTATATATTTAAGATAGTTATCTCTTCTCCTTGGAGTTTTCCCCTTACGAGTATGTCGTGACCTTCTTTGTCCTTTATGGTCATTGTTGGTTTAAAGTTCACGTTGTCTGCAAACAGAATGGCTACTCCTGCCTTTTTTTGGATTCCTGCTGCATGAAGAATTGTTTTCCATCCTTTGACTTTCAGTCTGTGAGTATCCTTCTGGGTTAGATAGGTTTCCTGTAAACAGCATATGGTTGGATTTTGTTTCTTGATCCATTCTGCTAGTCTGTTTCTTTTGATTGGTGCATTGAGACCATTTACATTAATGATTATTACTGTTAAATGCTGGTTTATTGTTGACCTGTTATCTCTCTGCTGTTGCATCTTTATCTTTCTGTTCTGTTTAATTATCTGCTTTGCTTAGTGGTTTTTTCCTTTGTGTAACAAAACTGTCTTTCAATATTTTTTGCAGGGTTGGTTTGGTGTTCATGAAGTTCTTCAGCTTTTCTTTGTCATGAAAGTATCATATTTCACCATCAATTTTGAATGATAGTTTTGCAGGATACATTAGTCTAGGTTGGAAATCATTTTGCTTTAGGATCTGGAATACTTCACTCCATGCTCTTCTTGACTTTATTGTTTGTGTTGAGAAGTCTGCTGTGATTCTCATAGGTTTTCCTTTATAAGTGATCTGTCTTTTCTCTCTGACAGCTTTTAATAATCTATTCTTGTGTTGGATTTCTGGGATGGTGATTATTATATGTCTGGGTGTAGTTTTATTTTGGTTATGACTATTTGGAGTTCTATATGCTTCACTGATCCTGATGTCGGTTTCTGATCTCATGCTTGGGAAATTTCCAGCTATTACTTCTCTAAATATCCTCTTGACATCCTTTATGTTGTCTCCTCCTTTTTCATTAATCCCTATCATTCTTATGTTATTTTTCTTTGCATCATCTTTCAGTTGTTGAATTGTTGTTTCCTGATTCCTTGTTATTTTTAAAAGATCTTTCCTTTCCTGTTCACTAGCTGCAATCCTGTCTTCAAGGTCTGAAATTCTATCTTCACTTTCATTAAGGCGGTTTTTACAACTTTCAGTGGAGTTTTTTATTTCCTGTATATCTCTGTGCATCTGCATTATTTATTGTTTGTTTCTTATATTGCTCGTCTAGGGATTCTATCTTTTTGTTTAGTTCCTCCAATTTTTTATCTGTGTTTTCTTTAGATATATTCAGAATCTCTTTCATTTCTTTTATCATTTCTTCTTTTACCTGGGAGATTATTTCAAGTTTGAATTTCTTTAAAGCTTCCTGGAGTTGCTTGTTAATTTCAGTAGCTATTGTGTCCGATATTTGAGGTGAATGGCATATATTTTCTTCTATATACATTGCTCCTAGGGTTTCTTGAGATGGGCTGGAGGTTTGAGGTTGTAATTTGGTCTTTCGTTTTGTCATTTTCCTATATTTCTGTGTTTCAAGTGTTATTTGAAAGCTTCCTTAGGATCTGTTGGAAATCCCCTTCTATGTTTGCAGCTACTGAGACTCTGGCACCAGGCTACCCCAAGTCACTGGGCCTGCAGAACCAATGACCCTCCTCTGCCTGTACAGAACTCCGCAGTTCCAGTTAAGCTTGGCCTTAGGGACACTGTGCACCCACCTGCCTGCTGGAAGCTCCACAGCTGCAATCGCAGCCGGGATGTGGAGACAGATGTAGACGCCTCAAACCCACCTCTCCCCTTCACTGCATCTGGAAGCCTTGGAGGGACCCAAGCAGTCTGGGCTCTGGGCAGAGTGTGCTGAGCACTCACCACAGGCTGCAGGGCCTCCGGATCCCGAGATGCTGCACTGTCCGCCGAGACATCCACAGTCCTCCAGACACACGGGGAGGCCGATGCAGGCACCCCAGATCTGCCCAGCCCCTCCTCTGCACACTGATGGCTAGGTGCGGGAAGCCTAAACAGGCTGGGCTCTGGGGATAGCGTGGGCCTGCCCACCCATTGGAAGCTCAGCAGTTCTCCAGGTGCAGCCGGGATGGGCAGGCGATGTCCTGATAGGCTATTTCAAACCACTTTTGCTTAGGCAAACTCTAACCAAAGTTCTCCTTTGAGGAACACTGGTTTTCCCTGTCTCACTGATGCACATTTGGCCATGATGTTCTCACCAGATGCACTGGACCAGAATGTGTGCGCTGACAAGATCGCTAGCTGTTTCCCACGCATGTAGAGGTCTGAGAAGCCCCTGCACCGCCGGGATGCCTCAGGCAAGGTCGCTTAGTCACGGGCAGATGCTCCAGGAGCACGGAAGCAGAAAACCCTCCGCAGAGGATTTTTTTTTTTTTTTTTTGTCTTTTTCCTTTTTATCGGTACCGGGGATTGAACTCAGGACTGCCTGCTTGTAAGGAAGGCGCTTATGCCGCTGAGCTAAATCGCCAGCCTTAAGTATGAATTCTTCTGGGGCCCTCTTGACTCGTCATGTGGAGCTATTCCCTTGATGTGGGCTCCTGTTCCCCACACTTTCCAGGATCTCAAGGCCAGGGAGGACTGTAACTCCCCCAAGCTGCTCTCCATAGTGCTTAGTGTTCCTATAGTGATCCTCACTGATTAATGGGTGAGGCTATGACTGAATGTCTCTCGGCCTCTCTCATTTTACTTGCACATATGTTCTACCTCACACTTTCTATTTATCTCTGATGAACCTCATGTTTGCATAGTTTTAAAAATGCATGCTTTTCTGTGCAGAACTGTCTGCCCAGCCTTTTTTAGCTACCTTCTGATCATCATCTGCATGTGGCAGTTGTCAGTGTCATAAGGTGGAACCCAGAGGATGGCTTTAATGCACTTAATATGTTATTTTGAATTTGTTCATATGATTGCATGTTTTTGTAAGTAAGCCTGTGTTTTTCTTTCTTCAGAGCAGAGACCCTATTTTGTTTCTTTATACTTGCAGTACATTCAGCCCCTCACACAGGTTGAAATGGATTGAAAAAGTTGAGATGTCTCATAATTTGCTGGTATTATTGACTGTCTTCTATATGTGAGACATAATTTTAAACGCACTTTACTCTTCTGTCTCATTGAATTCTCTTACCTCTATGAAGGGGTTTTATTCTTCCCAGGTAAGGTAGGGGGAACAGGATACCCAGAAATATTCACACTTAACCAGCTGTGAAGTGGCGTGGCTGAAATTGAAATCCCAAGCCTACCCTCCTGTGGTGATTGGCCAGTATAGTCTCTCCCTTTTAGACTGGTTGTGGAAATCTGTCAGGTTTAAATTCTAAATTTGTAACTTATTGTATGCCCAGGGGTGTGAAATGGGGATAGTTACTGCCTGTACTAGAAATGTACTGAGGACTGAATAAGATAATCAGTTCTATAAACTATGTAACAGAATTGAGGTAGTGGTAGCAGAGTTATTTTGTGTAGACATTAATTTGACAGAGCTCTTGGAGTTCTTTCCAGCTCTGAATACAGTGGCCCTCACTTTTTAAGATTCCTCAGTCTTTCTCCTTTGTCATTACCTGTTACATTCACTGACTGTAACAAGTGTTACTAGGGCCAAGCACATGCCTCTGTTTCATAGCATGAAAAATCTAAGGATTTTGTGACAAGCATGTGTTGCCTTATATCACTGTCCTGATTTCCCATGCTCAATTCTGAGGGTTAGCTGAGTGAATCAAGATCTCTAGCTAAAGAAGGCAATTGGATTCTTTTCTACAGCTAGACCAATATGAAAAAATACATCAACATAAAAAATTACTATTTGAGTTTTGAATATTTTTTGAGATGTTGTAATGTTAAAGTACCACCAAGGCTAGTTCATTTCCCTCTTTGAGTACAGAGCAGAGAAGCCCCTCCTTGACCCAGTGGGTTAGATTTCACAGTGTTTATATTGTGAACTAACTCTCATGATGCCTCATAGAACTAGTTTGTAAAATAACATGGTGAGCATCAAGATCACTGATGGGAGATTTCTAAAAGACAGGTCCATCTCATGCCCCTTCAGTTTTCTACTTAGTAGATCTGGGATAGGGAAGGCAAGGGCTTCTTTAGTAAAAGTAAAAGGTGATTAATTCTAGTGACTAATGAAGTTAAAGCTACTACCACAGACTATACTGTATATTTAAATAGCCAAGAAAAAAAAAAATGAAGCCACTATGATTAAACACACTTTACCCACAAAACTGTTCATTTAGTCTAAGATCAGCTACTTTTTGAGAACCATAATTCCTTAATACAATGTTTAATGTAGACTTTTCTGAAATGTATATCTAGTCAATTGAATAGAGTGACTCAATATGGATTTCTTACTAGTAAACTAATGTAAAGTTCTGATGCACCTGCTGGAAAAGATGACATTGAGTAGTTAATATGTATTCTGGGATAATTTTTATTCTCACCATTGTCTGATTACATTTCCATATAGACTAAAAATATTTCAGTAATTATAGTCTTTAGGAGAACATTTTTGTATTTTTAGTCTTTAAGTAATTACAGCTAGGTGTGGTAGTACATACCTGCAAATTCAGTAGTCTGAGACACTGGTTGCCCAGTCTAGCCTGCAACTTAGTGACTGAGAGCCTGTCTCTCTGTCTCTGTCTCTGTTCTCTCTTTCAATTTTAAAAAATGACAACATATTTAAGCTCTGTAAACTTTTCTTAGGTCTATAGAGGTACATTTCTTAGGATTTCAAGTAATAATGTGAAAAATGGTACTCAGACTGGTATATCACATATCTACACTAGCCTCAAATTATACATATATATATATATATAATCTTTAAATATGTGGTAATCTTTGTTTAATGTAGGAGACCAAGCCCATGTATTTATGTCTGTGTCTTTGACTAGTGTTAATGTTTACTGCAGTAGTAGAAATCTTGAGTAAATATTTCTTGTACACTTCTTTTTCTTCCTAGGCATTGCTTCTATGACAGTGCCAGTGTATATTGCAGAAGTCTCACCACCCAACTTAAGAGGCCGATTAGTCACCATTAACACCCTTTTCATCACAGGAGGGCAGTTCTTTGCCAGTGTTGTTGACGGAGCCTTCAGTTATCTCCAGAAGGATGGATGGAGGTTTGTAAATGATTCTTACATCAAATTTTTCAAATAAATCATGACTTTGAGGAATTGGAGAAAAATTGAGAAATGTCAGGCAAAAAATATAACTAGATATTTTGAATCATTGTAGTTAAGTTACAAGTGGGTGGCATCCAGCAAAAGTGAAAGTAGACAAGAAGCTGATACTTATTTTTTATTTTTTAATTTTTTTGGTCTTTTTCCTTTTTTATCGGTACCAGGGATCGAACTCACCACTGTGAGCTAAATCTCCAGCCCCTGATATTTATTTTAAAGATAGACAAGAAACCTACTATTAAGAATTGATATTTACGGGGTTTTTTAGCATTTAGGTGACATTTCTCACACTATGGGTAGTCTTTTGCAATATTTGTTTAAAAATGAATGTGGTAATAAATATGCATGGAGTTCTGGAATTATATGAATTATTGACAAGCTGTTTATGAACTACAGGTATATCTAACATCCTTTTTGGATTTTGGAAGATACATTCTGATCTAATTTTTAAAGATACAGACTTAGTTATATAAAAAGATACTGTATGTGTGAGTTTGAAATAGATTAAAAATTAAAATATACAGCAAATTATCATTCATTGGCTTATTCTGAATCAAAAGAAATGATAAAAGTGGTATAAAATCATTGAAATAAATTTAAACTAAATATTGTAAAAACAACATTGTTGAAGCTTGAGGATAGGCACTCTGGATTGCACACATGTATTAATTTTTGTTTACGTCACCTTGAAAGGGAGTTAAATTTCCCTGTGAGCAGCATGATTATCAGTGGGGCACAGGATGAGCTGCTGAAGCCTCAGGTGATCATTTTCTGTGGAGGTCATAGGCGAAGTCTTGGACACTGCTTAGGGCTTACCGTGTCAGGGCTGGCAGAGAGGACACAGCAGTCATGAGGTAGGGCTGTGTCTGCAGACCTTTGAAGAACTTAGTCTCTGCCAGAGTGAGATATTACTGGAAAACTGAAAAAGCAGGAAGTTTCATCTTTCTGCTCTGTAGATGGGGATAAACTAAAATAATTGTTAGGTTACCAAAGTAACCTAGCATTTTGAGTTTTTCTTGGAAACTCAATTGAAGTCAGTTAATCCTTAAACTTGTATGTGTTGAAGAAAACCTAACTCATCTACTAACATTTTATTGACATTTTTATTAGTATAACTTTGTTATGATTTTATAATGTATATACCATAAATATAGATTCAGTATATAATATATTGAATGCATAAATGCGTTTTTCACTTAAGGACAGCAATTTAAATATTTTCTTTTTACTGTACAAGGTGGTGCATGCCTGTAACTCCAGCACTGGGGGAACTGAGGCAGGAGGATGATGAGTTCAAGGCCAGCCTGGAATGTGTAGGAGAAGACACTCTCTTCCCTATCCCTTCAGAACAATAAATCTTTTCTCAGTACTGTTTATGAAAGTTGAGAAAGAAAATAGTGTAGTGAAAATAAATTTTTAAATGTGAGGGATCTTGTGTAGAAGTGGCAGTGTTAGGATGGGACTTAGTTTCCATAGGCAGGGTGACAAGGGTCACTGACCTGGATTGAAATCTGTTTTCTACCATTTGAATACTAACATGAGCATGAACTTCTCTGAGGGTTATTTTTCTACCATAAAGGAGTGGAAATATTTATGTTCTACTACTCTGGGGGATCTCCATTAATACATATAAAGTGTTGATCCCAGGGGTTGGCATATAGCAAATACTTAATAAATAGTACGTCACACTGTTATTTACTATTCTGATGAATGAATCAGAGATGGGTGCTACTGTAGGTGAGGAAAATTGAAAACTGCTTTTGTTTTCTTCCTTTATGAAACTTGGACTTGGATAGGGCAGAAGCCTAGAAGAAAAATAAATTTTAAGTGCCTGTAGCTGCTGTGGGAAATTAGTCAGCAAATGATTTCCACATAACCAGGTGGATGCCAGATGAAGTTGGAGACATTTATCTTGGTAAAGTCAATTAACAAGCTTGTGTGTATTTTTCCTATAATACTAGAGAGCTCGGGGGTGAAGAAAAAAAATAGAAAATGGGAATACCAGGGCTCATATTCATTAAGGCATTTACAGCCAGATTACATTGCACCCTACTTACTGTTTGTCGAAATTCACATTTGCAATCTAAAGGCCAGAATTATTCATCATTTTTACATTGATAATTATACTCTGATATGCAGATGACATTCAGTGTCAGATACTTCTTAGATTTTGATGTTATTGTAAGATTATACCTTTTTTGCCAGATAAATCAAGGTTTCTGTTCTTTTATTGTTTAGATTGCATAGAAATGATTCTTCTTTTTTAATCCGAGGAATTGTGTCCAGAGCCTCTCACACAGTAGATAGCACTCTCTAGTTGAGCTGAGCTACATCCACACCCCTTTTTAAAAACTTCTTTTGATGTAGAGTTTCACCAAGTTATCCAGGCTGCCCTTGAGCTTACGGTTCTGCCTCAGTCTCCTGAGTATCTGGAATTATAGAATACATTCTTTTCTGTTCAGCTGAAAGGCATTTGCAATATCTTATGAATAAAGTTCCAGATACACTGAGGAAAAGGGACATTCTAAGTGAAGTATACTTTTTAAAGGCATTGTAATGTGAAATGGTCAGTTATGCTGGGAGAGAAGTGACAAGTTAGAGCAGTGACGTGGAGCTGTGATGATAGCCTGGAGTTTGGTATAGGGGAATGGTAAGGTGAGTCTTCATGGATGTGGGTAGCACTTCAAATCTGTGTTTGCCTCCTCCTTAAATTAAAGTTCTTCCCATTGCTTTCTCTTCAAACAGTGTAAATTCGGTTGGTTTATTTGGAAAATCTCAGAATAATTTTTAAGAGATCATTACATTTGGATAAAAGAGTTGATGTACCTCTTTCCATCATCATATGTGATAACATAAAACTGTCACTAAGAGCGTCTCAGAATGTTATTTAAAAGGAGATGCTATTTATAAATAAATGTATGCTGGAGAAAGTGTTGGTAAAATTTAGTGCTAATCAGGAGTACATGATTACATAAGAAGTGTACAATGTGTGAGGCTATCTCAATCTTAAAACTTGATGCAGCCACCATTTTAAGAAAGATGAATTTGGATAATACATATATTAGTTGGAGTTTACTACCTTGATCACAAGCAGATATCTTAAACCTGAAGATATTTGGAATTCTGTTATTAATTGAATTAAGACATAGGGCTGTTTATCATAAGATATTCTAGTGTAATTTGCTTTCACAGCATGTGAATTAATTTGTCTAAGCCCTAATATCCTCATATAGCTAATGTTCCAGCAATTGCAGTGTTACTGTAAAGATCAAATGTTAGGGGCTGTGAAAATACTTAAAAGCCATTAAGTGCTACTAGATATTGTTTGCTGTTACTTTCATGAAGCCCTGGGTTCAGCCTCTGTATCCTGTGTCCTGTGAAGACAAGAAAAATTACCCCTGCCTTCACTTGTCAGATATTTCCAGGTTAAAAAGTAAATATAGTTTGGTGATGACAGAAAGGTTTGTATAGAACTAATCCCTCTGTAAATGAGCATTTACCACTTAATAGTTTAGCCCAAGTGTTATTCAGGCAGCACGTTTGTTTGCCTGTTGACTATCCTCAGTATCAGTTTTGGAGGTGTCATTTCAACTAGTTGATACTTTTTTTTTTCTTGTCTTTTGAGACAGCATCTCACTATGCAGTTCAGGCTGGCCTTGAGCTCACTTTGTAGCCCAGGCTGGTCTCGAACTCTTAATGAGCCTCCTTCTTCAACTAGTTGATTCTTGTATTGAATAAATTTGATAAAATTGTTTTTATGTTTCCTGTTACATTATAAAAATTATTGAAAAATATGTCAGTTTTGGTTATCATGTTTCTAAGTAATTGGACTGGTAAGTAGTTAAAAATTATGGACAAAGTGCTGAAAAGCAAACAAATTAGTGAGATCACCATACAAGATCTTCAGGGCAGAGAAAATACTCAGTAAGATAACATGTGATAGACATGTGTCATTTTACTCTCGACCCAACTCATGGATCTTACTGTGCTGACAGTGGACCATATTATAAACTGTTGTCTAATGATGTGCTAAGGCATAGCTCGAAGTAGACTGGTAAGTGAAGGTTGCATGTGTTGATCCCTAAAAAAACTACAGGAATATGTTTTAAAAAGAAATAGCTACGAAGACGTGAGAATTAAAATAGAGTACTTAAAATAGTTGAATAAGCTGAGTAAAGACAAAGAGAAAACACAGGGGTAAATATCAGATGATACAAATTGAAGGCAAATAGGTGTTATAACATTAAAAATCTAGTTACAGTGTCAGTTATAGTAAATGTAAAAAAATTATCATTACATAACAAAAATATGACAAAAGTCCGTATTGTTTAAGACACATTATTTCATGTTTAGATAGCGTAAAAGTAAAAAGATGGGAAATGTTAGACTCAAAGTTAAGCACGATATAAGAAACAGATGTGCACTGTGGAGATATAGCTCAGTGGCACAGTGTCAGCCTGGCAAGTGCAAGGTCCTGAGTTTGACTCCTGGCACTCTAAATAAATAAATAAATAAATGATAAATAATATATGAATGAAACAAAGAAAAGAAACAGATATGGCTGTATTAGTAAATACACTAATTTGTTTCATTTATACTACTAGTATCTTAGCTTGTTGTAAAGAGAGTTTTGTATTATTATTTATTGTTTGTGAAAATCTTTTTTGTTTGTGTCTGTACTGAGTGACTACTTTGAAGATAATGACATACAGTTCAAAACTATTCTTATTTTGTTATGAAATTCTGTCTTTTCATAAAATAAAATAAAGGAAAACTTCATAGTGATAAAGTTACCAGTTCATTGATTATGATAAAGATGTGCCATTTATCCAGAGAGCTTTAAAATGGATAAATAAAAAGGTAACAGTTGGTGGTTACCCAGGCATGAATGTAATTAATACTGCTGTTTATACAGTGCTTAAAACTGATAAAAATGGTAA